ATATATATATATATATACACACTCATGCGCATATAATTTTATATATATCTATATATGTATATCCACAATGAAAGAAATACTATTATATAAATACAATCGAAATAAATTTTTATGTTTCTGGCAGCACATTGTGTCGATGTTTAATTGAATGAAACTCTCTTGAAAAATCTCTTTTTCATTTAACATAATTTTTTTCATGTAAAAATATATGATATAAAAACATCACACCATGACTACATGAAAAAAAAATATGTTAAATAAAAAATAGAAGATATAAATTATATATATGACCATAAATAAAGGGACAGAATGCATATATATAATTTATATATAACCATATATAACTTTATATAACTACATAATCATTTTTCTCGAGTTACATTAGGATATAAAATATACTTTAAATAAATTTGTTGCTCATGATGAATTTACGACAGATTTGCGAATTTGCAGACTTATTGAATACTCGAAACAACATTCACTTGAATGCAATGTGTATTTTTCCTATGTGCACTGAATCATCGCGTTATTGCAATTTAAAGGGCTAAAATGGGCCATCGCGCCGGAACAGAGGCCTTTCTCCAACATTGAATAATTTCAAGGTGATCAGGCTGGTCGTGTTAATGAAATTTCCCGCCTACCAGCACCAGCACCGGTGAGCTCTTAAAAACGCGCGTGCATACTGAGTGACCCGCATAGCGCAACGTTCCACGCAACTGGAAATATAGAGCCAACATTCTTATTGCAGCGCGCAACCATTACGTGCCATGCACATTCTCTCGTTGCACCGCGACAAAATGCGGCTCCTTCTCGGCGTTCCTTCCGCTGTTCCCGCGGACCCGTTACTATTTGTATGCTGAGGAATATTCGTCGGTACGATACGCCGAAAAGATTCGTTTGCCAGGCAATTTCGTGTTCCTGGAAATAATTAAACGACAGTTAAGACCGATGGAGCGCCGCTCGAAACCGGAATTTGAGGATATTTTAAATGCGAAGGTTATAATAAAGTGTTACGCATAAATTTATAGTAGAAAATATATAGGAGTTAATTGGAATTTCATAGAGTTAAAAGTGTTCAACCTCAAGTAGAGAAAGTTGACAGAGATGTCTCATACGTTTCATTATAATAATGTAAGAGATACTCCACAATTAGAACTAAATTAAATCGAGAAGCTGCAGGTCCATCCGTTATTTTCCGGCTGATTTTCTTGCATCATTACGTAGACAATTTGCATGATGCAAACAAGATGTGCTGGAGGTATGCATAAAGCAACAGTTGCGTTTTTCGCCATCTCCCTAAAGAGTCGCCGTAATTTTTTCACATCTGAGCACTCTTCTTCTGCATAACGGCACGAAAAGCAGCTGCCTAACTCTCTCATTGGGTTGATTATTATCAATCATTATCATTGCTTTTGGCATATGTAGGACAAGAAACGTAGCTTGTCACATAGAGAGCGAGAGAGCACTCTGTCAGATAATTGCTTTGTAGATAACGTTAACAACTCTTCCACCATACGTGGTAAAGACACGAGATAACAGAGTGTTGCAGAGGTTTTTTTTCAGTGTACGCACGTTAGCGGGTTCCGCCGTGTGTTACGAAACATCGGTTTGATGCAATTTTAAAGAGAAGATCGCTACCTGCTCCTCGCAGAATAACGATCTTCTTCCTTGTTAGCGATTATCCGAATAATTTCAAAGCGATCATGCGAAACGGGGTGCGAGTGCCGTTAGATAAATTCACCGAGGATTCCCGAAACGCATCAAGGTAAAAGTACTAATTCCTGGACACATACTAATCCTACACATTCTTCTTGTTTTGCTCTTTAAATGCAAATTAAACTTTCAACAGAATATACATTTTTTCTAATATATATATGTATATATGTATACATATATATTGAAACGCATCAAGGTAAAAGTACTAATTCCTGGACACGTACTAATCCTACACATTCTTCTTGTTTTGCTCTTTAAATGCAATTTAAACTTTCAACAGAATATACATTTTTTCTAATATATATATGTATATATGTATATATATATGTTGAAAAAAAAAATATATATATGTATATATGTATATATATATATATATATATATATATATATATATATATAT